GAATGGTCCGAAAAAGAAAAAACATCCAGTGAGCGGCAGTTCTGTGGGCAGAAATGCCTTGTTGATGCCAGAGGTCAGAGGAGAATGGCCAGACTGGTTCGAGCTGATAGAAGGGCAACAATGACTCAAATAACCACTCGTTACAACCAAGGTGGGCAGAAGAGCATCTCTGAACGCACAGTACGTCGAACTTTGAGGCAGAGGGGCTACAGCAGCAGAAGACCACACCGGGTGCCACTTCTTTCAGCTAAGAACAGGAAACTGAGCCTACAATTTGCACAAGCTCATCAAAATTGGACAATAGAAGATTGGAAAAACGTTGCTTGGTCTGATGAGTCTCGATTTCTGCTGCGACATTCGGATGGTAGGGTCAGAATTTGTCGTCTACAACAAGGAAGCATGGATCCATCCTGCCTTGTATCAACGGTTCAGGCTGGTGGTGGTGGTGTCATGGTGTGGGGAATATTTGCTTGGCACTCTTTGGGCCCCTTGGTACCAACTGAGCATTGTTGCAACGCCACAGCCTACCTGAGTATTGTTGCTGACCATGGCCATCCCTTTATGACCACAATGTACCCAACTTCTGATGGCTACTTTCAGCAGGATAATGCGCCATGTCATAAAGCTGGAATCATCTCAGACTGGTTTCTTGAACATGACAATGAGTTCACTGTACTCAAATGGCCTCCACAGTCACCAGATCTCAATCCAATAGAGCATCTTTGGGATGTGGTGGAACGGGAGATTCGCATCATGGATGTGCAGCCGACAAATCTGTGGCAATTGTGTGATGCCATCATGTCAATATGGACCAAACTCCCTGAGGAATGCTTCCAGCACCTTGTTGAATCTATGCCACAAAGAATTGAGGCAGTTCTGAAGGCAAAAGGGGGTCCAACCCGTTACTAGCATGGGGTACCTAATAAAGTGGCCGGTGAGTGTATATATAAAATTAAATGCTTACAGTATTTTTGCTGCATTGTATTTAGATTGAAACAACACTCTCAAAAAAATGTCTGTAACAACTAATCATTAATCCCTTTAAGGACCTTTTAAAGACTTCAAAGATGTTCACTCCTCTCAAAAGTATTTTCATTTTGCCTGTATTCTACTTATGTCTATTCTAAGCCAAACTGTTTGACAAAATGTCATCATGGGTTCATAATGACAATTAAGGTTCTTGATTCTTTACTATTGTAAAAAAGAAAACATAAACTGACATGTTTTCATAAACATGAAATCCTTCCTATCTGCAGAACCTTCCATCCTTTAAGGTTCTAGAATTGACTATGTATATCTCTGTAATTTCCCCAATCAATGTTAGAAATTACAGGTGAAATTTTCATATTCTTGTCATAGATATAGTTTTTTTTTAGGAGGGAGTTGTGAAGAGTGGCTAGGTGGGGTGGGTGTAAAAGAAAACAATATTGCAGTCTCAAGCCTGAAACTGTTTGTGTTTTCTGCCCATTATGAGTACCTCTACTGTGAAGTAAATGAGCTTAACAAACAGGGAGGACGAGGAGAGAAGGCACAGCTAGCAGGAGGAATCGGCTGGGTTTGTGTACAGGCACACGCTGATGTTCAAAGGAAAAGCGTCCGCCTTCAGTTTCCCTGAATTAAATCAGCTTTGCGGCTAATTTTCTCCACTGCTTGGGTGTGTTGACAAGGAGCAACTGCTTTTCTCTCACTCTGATAAAGGAGCATGGCTTTATCTATGCACATCCTCTGCTTTCATTTTTTGTGCACAGGTCTTTCTTGTCGATCCTTTAAGGCAAGGCTAGACTTTACATTGTGCAAATAAAAAATCTACTTTAGTTTGACCTAATAAACTGCGGGACAAAACAGGGACCTATATCCCCCATGGACAAGCAGTGGATACTCTGTCAGTCAGTAATTAGGTTCATCTAATGTGGGAGGGGATGAGTGGAAGTAAATGGGTATACTGTAGCAGCTGATGTTTTTAACCAGGCTTTGTCCGGATGTTTAAGGCTGCAATAGCGTGAAGCTTGGAAGAAAAGCCTAAAGCAGGAAGAGGAGTTCTAGTGAATCATAATTAGTCCGCTTCAGTTCTCTCACATACTATTACCATCCTTATCTCAGCCAAATGTTTCATCGCCTGCTGCTCCATTAGTCTTTTTTCGGTGTCTTATCTGTCCTTGGCTCATTCTCTCCTCCGTCTTCCTTCTTCTCTCTTCCCATCATTCTTCTCCTGATTAGGGCTTCTCTCCCTGTAGGTTCTAACGAAGCCCAGATGACTGACAAGTCTCTCACAGCTGACCTGGCCTTTACCTGAGCGTTGCATGGCCTGAGTGACGCTATGTTAGGTGCCCAATTACAAAGAGAGTTTCAATCAATAGCCCCTTTGCTGCCTTTTTTTTCCTGGCTGCCTCTCATTGCCATGACTAACTGACTTGCTGACAATCCAACTGGGAATGTGTGAGGTGATTGCAAGCAGCTTTGGAGCCTGAATAATTACACTTTGCCTGGCAGTTGTATCCTGATAACACAGGTATTAGACAGAGTGAGCAGCCCCTCTGCCGGTAGCTGGTGAAGTCTGTCAAATTGTCTTTTTATTTCTGTTACGCCAAATCTATCAGAATTTGATATCATCTTGCTTGTTCATCCCACTTTTTTTTTTTGCTATAAGTAGCGTCTGTTGTGCTTCAGAAATGTTTGACGTGACAGGAACATCTGGAAATACATAATGGAATCTGCCTCTTTTCTGTCATATGACATGGCTGAGCGAGATGAGGGGAGACAAGTCTGTTTTTCTTCCTCTTTTTATTCTTTTCTTCTCTCCTCTCTGCTCTTGTACAAATGCATTAGAGGCTCTGCTGACTTGATTCAATGCTGCCCCCCCTTGCCCTATCATCAAAGTAAGATTTAAATGAAATAAAGCCTCCTGGTAATAAGGAGGTGGATTGAGGAGCACTTTTTGTTTCACTGTTCTCTTCCAAAAAATAGAGGCAAGAATCAGGGTTACTCAGTTCCAGCCCAGCATTGAAGTCCTAAGATTTTGGACCTGTACCTTCAGCTGACGAGATCAGAGTGGCGGTGTGCAATTGCAATCAGTACAGCGAAGGGAAAGAAGCTGGAAGAAGCGGGGAAAGAAACTGGTGCAAGTCAGATTACAACAAACGAGAGTGTGTGTTTGCATCTGTCTGTGTATTTGAGAAGCAAAGAGCGAGACGGAGTGAAGGAGAGTGCAAGCCAGAGTAGAAGAGAGGAAGGCAGAGGGAGGGGAATTGATATAGTGAGAGGGAGAGAAAGAGAGAGAGAGCTGGTTACGTGGAACAGCACCCCACTTCATCAGGCAGCATACGGCAGACCTGCAGTGCGATCACACAGCATGGCAATGGGGCTATGAGAACGAAAGACAGAACGTTAAAAGAGAAGAGCGCCAGAAGGAAAGGGGGGGGGAGTTAAAGAAGCGCCTGAGGGATATGCTTGAATGAAAAGAAGGTGGTTGTGTAGGGATGATCACTGGCTGCATTGCTCATCGTGGATGTTGGAAGGACGTGGCAGCAGTGACTGAGGTTCAGGCAGGTTTGTGGTCTTCTCTGTTGAAGTAGGAGGCATCAGGACGTTATGCCCTGTGAGCATTGAGGGGTAAGCGTGCGTGCGCGAGTGTGTGTGTGTGTTCCTGCATCAGCACTGCCTGCATGTCTCAGACAGGCAAGGGATGCAGCAAACCTCTGCCCTGAGCGCAGAGGCTGCTAGCTGCACCCAGCGTGGAGAAGAAGAACCTGGTGGGCTCGGAGCAAGAGTGGGGGCTTGCTCACCTCAGGAAGGAACTAGCTTAGCATGCACTGTGGTCCCACGGTGGTCCTCGCTTCGGGGGAGAGTGAGCTCACCTGCTGTGCTTTGGATCTGAACCTGGATTTACTGCTCTGAGAGAGGAGAAGCACGTTCTCCAGCGGAGCCGCACAGACAGCTGCCTTCTGAAGGAGTGTGAATGCTGAGCTGCACTGGAAGCACTGGAACCAGCAAGGACATTGAGCTCTTTGCCACACAGCTCACCTGGAGTGAGGAATATATTCTTGGATTTGAATATGAATTGAGGAGTTTGGAATCAGCACACTGGGAATCCAACGTTTCTTTGTGGGATTTACAATATGTCTACCTGATCGTACTTTGTGTGGCTATGGAGTAAGGACAAAACATGATTTGAGCAAATGTGTTTTCCTTGATTTAAAAAAAAATAACATGAGTACCTCAACAGTACTTTAGAATGCTGCTACCTTCATTGTATGAGCCTTGTCCTAGCTCTCAAAGAGGTTGACCAATGAAGCCATGGGACTCAGCCAGAGCTTTACAAGTATGTGGTGAAAACCCTGTCCACTTTATTTTGGGGGATCTAAATATAGAAATATGTGTTGCACCCTAATGATTTTAGTATACTTGAAACTAAAGGGAGATCTTTAGCCGAGTAAAACATGTGTTATATATTAAAATGTCAGCTCCTTGTTTTCCCTCAGCCTAAACTATTTTTTATTTGTAGTGTTGTGTCGTAGATAGAGACTTGTTGTTGTTTGTTTTTTCTTCACATTAGCTCATCTGCTCACTAAAGGAATGTTTAGTGAACCTTGTTTGTTGGAAGATGCCACAGTGGCTCGGTCCAATGTAATTAGGAAAACAAAGCTTCAGATGGGCTTCCTTCCCTGCACTACCTCCACCCTCGCCTGACATCTTCAGTCAGTCATACTAGCACCAGTAGGTGTAACATTAGTCTAGTCAGTCCCCTTCAGGGGCCCGAACATTGCCTGCAGCAAATCCTATTCTACTCCTGTGTTTGAGTTAGCCGGGCCCCTGCCTGTACAGTGGGAGCCCCTCATCCCCAGCCTGGACCCTGTCTCCCCCCCACCCCGCCTGGTGCTGCTGCACTCGGCTCTGCCTCTGCTGGCCGAGGATGATGTGGCAATGCCATGTGTCGTCCTCTGAGTGCCGCTGCTACCGGCTGAACGGCTTCTCCCTGCTGAAGCGCTTCCCTCTCTCGGCAGATGGGGCCTGTGGTAAAGCCCTGGACCAGCCGGTTGGAGAGTGGCTGGAGCACGTGGGGCTGCCGCAGTACGAGAGCAAGTTCCTGCTCAATGGCTTTGATGACCTACGATTCATGGTGAGTCACCTGCAGCATGTCATCGCAAGGGTCGGTTCCACTTTATTTCAAGCCCTTCCCTGCCTGTGTAAGCCTTGCTTCATTTGTCTTTTCATGTCACCACGCTGCTCTCTCACCCACTTGTCTCCCACAAGCTCCACCCCTTTTACTGCTTCTTCTTAAGCACCCTTTTCACCCTTCCACCATAACAGTGTTGGTCCTATACTTAATACCTTGTCTGTAGCTCTGTGTAATGCATGACCCAGTAAAGACTTAAAACTCCCCAGTGAATTGTTTTTAAAAATGTGAGCTACCACCAATAGAAAGACAGATAACAAGCCAAAGATCTTCAGCTGAAGGAACCTGATGTTGAACCACCTTAATAAAAACCCTATTTACTACAATTTCAGTCATGCCTAAAATCAGGAATGCTCACTTAGTTTAAAAACTTTATGAATGTATGAATTTAACAGCCAACTTTTCTAAATGTAATGCTTAACAACATCATTTACAAATTTCCTAGCCAGAATTTAGCTAAATAATCTGATCATCTGGATGACATACGGTTGGGAGCAGTATTTATATATTCCATAAATGTAACATAATACTTTTAGATATTTCCAGCGTTAGAGTTAACAAAACTCTTCCTATTCCTCGTCAGGGATGATGGCTAGAATTATTCATATTTGCAAAATGCCATTACAGTGAGAGAGAGAGGAAAATCAGGAGGAGGTAGGTTCTGTGTCCCAATGTTGTTTTTGATTGTGTTTTCTATGCAATGTGCTCATCCACATAAAGCCAAAAGCAAAACACCTTTTGAAGACAATTTAAAATTAAAATTTTTACTTTTAAAAAAATGTAAAAAGAAAAATTTTGGAAGCACACTTAGAAACATAGATCCTAACTTTTCAACAACACCAGTTGTGCCAGGAATGTTTACTAAACATCCCAGCTATGGTGAGAGGTTTCTTAAAAGAAAATCCCAAAAGCTTGATCAAGTCATGCTGTTAAAAATGTTCAAATATTTTTTTTTAAAGCAAACCTGAAGAAAGTTAAAAATAAAAACTTTCTCTTAAGAGTCTCTCTATTATTTTGGCATTTGGTAAATACAAGGTTTCTGCAATCATCTTAGGGCGAAAACAACCATCATTGAGTTTGATTTAACGCCAGACAGTGAGTGAAAAAGGCTGTTGTTATTATTTTTATCTAATGTCAATGAAATGAGAAAAAAAAGCGTCCCATTGCATTAATAAACACAAAGTTCAAATGACAAACACAATGGGCCTCATGTAACAACATTTTTGTATTTTTATTTGTAAATTTCTCTTACTTTTTCTCCTACATTAAGCTGCTACCCCTGCGCCACATCAGATATAACAAACATTCTTAATCTCTGATAAATTACTCTCGTAAATGTGATGCAGTCCACCTGTGTATATGTGAGTGAGAGTTCATGAGAATTGCAAATCTGCATAATTACCCCCCTGATAATTCAATATTTGGCTATGATTTCCATCGCTTGTCAGTCGCCATTCATTCACAAAAATGGCATTGAAGACAAAGAAAAAAGACTTTACCAGTTTGGAGGTCGGAGTTCTGAGATGAGCAGCAGAATTAAAGGAGCAGCATTAGCCAAGCAGTGGGGAATCAATCACAAGAGCTGTAAATGATGTGGTTGCACTGTTACAGAAGTATAAATAAAAACTATTTGATCAGAAAATGGGGTCAAAAGCATATCTAGCAAGATCAAGATGGTCAGTAAAAACTACTGGTGGTGGAACATATGACATAAATGATTAATAAGAGTTCTATATCTACCAACATGACACAACGTTCTGCAAAATCTACTTTTAATACACAAGCACCACATCTGACCACGTCTATGCTCCCTTCATTGCACTCTCTATCTCTCTCATACAGTAAACGTAATAATATTAATGGTGAAACTCTAATTTGGCGAATCCAGAAAAACCTAAACATTCCACATTTAGTGTAAGAATAAAACAAAAGAGCTGCCATGGAGTGGAATGAATCATACTTACAAGTTACGTTGCTGAATCTCCTCTCGAATTTTCTATACATTTTTTGTTCCAGATGTTATTTCAGTAGTAGCTTGATCCCACATAGAGCTCACGGACTGTTCTTTCTTTTGACGTAATTATAACTAATTAAACCAGTGTCCCCTGGGTAACCAGATCTAAATAAACTCTCTATTATGTAAGTTGCCAGTGAGTGTTTGCCTAGTGGTTAGAGCAGTGCACTTGTGCTCTGAGAAGGTTGCAAGTACCTGGTTCGATCCCCACAGCTGGCAATCTGTGTTCCTGAGCAAAACCCTTGACCCCTGATTAATCCCCTGGCACCACAAAATGGCAGCCCACTGCTCCCCAAAGGGATGGGTCAAAATGCAAAGAACGGATTTCCCCATCGTGGGTCAATAAATTGATTTATTTTTTCTTTTCGTTCGTCTGCACATGCCAGCTGCAAGTGTAGGGACCGATAGTTCTGTCATTAACAATCTGGACTAATAAAATGGACGATTCCTTCTAAGTAACAACAAATGTGGTCATTTAGTGAAAAATATGGTTTGGATAACAGCTGAGGCAAGGCTCCTACGTCAAGTCTGGAGCAATCGTAAAAAAAATTTGTGCGAAAATTAGAATATAGGAGAAAAATTATGCAACATTTTCTCCTAAATCAGTCGTACAAACCATTAAACACCAAATTTGTTTGTATAAACACTTCTTGCATGAGGCCCAATGTTTTTAGCCAGATAAAGGCTAGAAAAGGTCTTAGTTTGCACATATTGAAAAAAAATATTAATATGTGATTACATCCACTTAGAAAAAAGAAACAAGATATTACTTGAGTTTAAGTTGTGCTTAAGTGCTTTAACAGTTTTGTCCAAATGTGTTTTTTTTATACAGGTACATTTTGTTGCTGGTCATAAAGATTTTTTGTGGTTGCACTCTTACTTTCACCACTGCTCCCTCTTTTCACTTTTCCCAACACGCTTGTTCTAACTTCACAAGATATCAAAGCCCTACAGCAGCATGCTTTATTTTTATATTTATATATGTTCATTTATATGATATTGAAATACGCTTTAGAGATCTGACTTAGATTTCTCATCCCAAATGTATCATTTAGCCTGTAAATAAAATATTTTCCCACAATTTTTTCAGCATGAATGTCAAAAAAGCTCATATAATTACTTAAACGTTGACACATTTTCCACAAGACTTACTCTTTTTTTCCCCACAGAACTATGTCAGATTACATTTGAACATTTTCGCTCAACTCCAGCTCAAACGATGTCCACAATCTGACTAAAAGCCTTATCATGTTTCCTGTAAAGAACATAACATGGAATGCTGATAGCTAAGTCATAAGGGACTGTGGAAAACAGAATTAGATTTCCCTTCCACCGGTCATGTTCTCAGAGAACACGGCTCTGTGTTGTAAGAAAGCCTACCCAGAGGGCTAACTGTGGACATTTCTCAGACCACAGAGCTGTGTTGGGACCAGAGGTTATATGTTACATCTGTTTGTCACAGCTGAGCTTGGTTAACTGAGATCAGTAAGCTCTGAGAAAAAAAACTACTCTCACTTTCTGGGACAAATATCTGAAAAGCGGAATAATTTAAGAACTTATGATCACTTCAACTTTGGTTTGCAGCACTGACCCGATCTTTAGATCCGTGAAGGCTCATGTGACAACAAGGCTGCATGAGTCATGCAGGTCTTGATATGTTGAATTAAAGGATTACATCAAGAATGAGCCGCATGACATAAAGCTGAATCAATGGATCACTCATCTATTAATCTGCTTTAATCCTCTTACACTGATATTGCTGCATACAGTACATCATTTATCAAAAAATACATCCAAAGCCATTTTTTTTCGCCTTATTTATCTCTTTTAACTTACCTAATGGAACCTTACCTCCATTTGGTTTTTATTTATTAAAACTATTTCTGTATTTAGGCAGTCAGGGTCTGAATTCTCGCATACTTAAAGAGTATTGATTTAACTTTTTTCCTCAGAGTTAGGCCTGTAGGACACTAGAAAAATGTACAGTTGCATTAACATTATAACTATATGAGAAATATACATTAAGGCTACTAAAATGTTTCTGAAGTGAAATGTTGGTGCATGACGTCATGCTTTAGCTTGCATAATGTTGTGCAGTCTCTGTAACCTACTCTCTACCAGGCTGTCGCTAAACTGCTTTAATTTTCATTAAATGTACTAAATCTGCTCCCGTCTATGTTTTATTTATTTTTTTTGTATCTGACTAAATGAAGCCATTTTCACAAAACAAACACAAAAAAATTACCCCCAACACTGTTTTCAGCTGTTTTTGGTTGTTTATTGATGACCCATCAAGCCGGTTTGAGAAGATAAGTGTGTTCATTAATGAAGGCAACATAGTTTGCACGAAGTGGAATGCAGCAGTGATGGTGTGTATCCCCCTTCACTTTCCTTTTTGAAACAGTGTTGGTTAATGAATGCGGATTAGGCGTCCTATTGTTCTCTGCATTCTGATTTGCTGTATTCGTTCTTACAAACTTTATATTTAAGGCACACTCACCGCCTCACTTTGTAAGCTGACAAATGCAAATGTAATGGACTGTCATCAATCAATGTTACCTTAAAAAATCTCCCCACACATAGTTAATGTAAGTCCAAATATCTTCAGGTCATACATGCAATACAACAAGAAAAAAGGGAAAATTTTTCAAGGTTTTTACATAGATTGCATCTCTAGTTCTTCCCTCCTTTGTATCCTGCGTACAGCATCCCAATAGATTCTTGAGCACGCTCCCATGGGAGGCATGGCCTAAGGGGTTGTGATGCTTAACAGCCCACTTAAACCAAAAACAGCTTTGCACTGGAGTCCCTGTAACCAACAATAAAGTTTATTGGAGTACAGCACAAAACTGAGCAACTGAAATAGCAAATGGAAAGCAGCAGTGCTGTCAGCTGTGATGGTGCATATGTCGAGTGTTCCAACCAGCAC